TACGGATGGAGGTTCATGACATTGTACAGGAGGCAGTGATCAAAACCATCTCCAAGAAAAGGAAATGCAAAAAGGCAAAATGGTTGTGTGAGGAGGCCTTACAAATAGCTGAGAAAAAAAGAGAAGTGAAAGGCAAAGCAGAAAAGGAAAGATATATCCATCTGATTGCAGAGTTCCAAAGAATAGCAAGGAGTTCCAAAGAAAGCCTTCTCAAGTGAACAATGAAAAGAAAAAGAGGAAAACAACAGAATGGGAAAGACTAGAGATCTCTTCAAGACAACTAGAGAGACTAAGAGAACATTTCATGCAAAGATGGGCATAATAAAGGACAGAAACTGTATGGACCTAACAGAAGCAGAAGATATTAAGAAAAGGTGATAAGAATACACAGAAGAACAATACCAAAAGATCTTAATGATCCGGATAACCACGATGGTGTGATTGCTCACCTAGAGTCAGACATCCTGGAACGCGAAGTCAAGTGGGCCTTAGGGAGCATCACTACAAACAAACCAAGTAGAGGTTAAATCCTAAAAGATAATGCTATTAAAGTGCTGCACTCGAAATGCCAGGGAATTTGGAAAACTCATCAGTGGCCACAGGACTGGAAAATGTCAATTTTCATTCCAATTTCAAAGAAGGGCAGTGCCAAAGAATGTTCAAACTACTGCACAATTGCACTTATTTCACCTGCTAGCAAAATAACGCTCAAAATCCTTCAAGCTAGGCTTCAACAGTACGTGAACTTTCAGATGTTCAAATTGGATTTAGAAAAGACAGAGGAACCAGAGATCAAATTGCCAACATCTATTGGATCACAAAAGAAGCAAGAGAATAATTCCAGAAAAACATTTACTTCTGTTTCACTGACTATGCAAAAGCCTTTGTGTGGATTACAACAAACTCTGGGAAATTCTTAGAGATGGGAATACTAGACCACCTTACCTGCCTCCTGAGAAACCTCAGGAGGTCAAAATGCAGGTCAAGAAGCAACAGTTAGAACTGGGCATTGAACAATGAACTAGTTTCAAATTGGAAAAGATATATGTCAAGGCTGTATATTGTCACCCTGCTTATTTAACTTATACCCAGAATACCAGGCTGGATGAAGCACAAGCTGGAATCAAGATTGCCAGGACAAAATATCAATAACCTCAGATATGCAGATGACACCACCTTTGTGGCAAAAACCAAAGAGGAACTAAAGAGCCTCTTGATGAAAGCGAAAGAGGAAAGTGAAAAAGTTGGCTTAAAACTCAACAGTCAAAAAACAAAGATCATGGCATACAGTCCAATCACTTCATGGCAAATAGATGGGGGAACAATGGAAACAGTGACAGACTTTATTTTTTTGGGCTCCAAAATCTCTGCAGATGATGACTGGAGCCATGAAATTAAAAGATACTTGCTCCTCGGAAGAAAAGCTATGACCAACCTAGACAGCATATTAAAAAGCAGAGACGTTACTTTGCCAACAAAGGTCCATCTAGCCAAAGCTATGGTTTTTCCCGTAGTCATGCACGGATGTGTGAGTTGGACCATAAAGAAAGCTGAGTGCAGAAGAAGCGCTGATGCTTTTGAACTGTGTTGTTGGAGAAGACTCTGGAGAGTCCCTTGACCAGCACGGAGATCAAACCAGTCAATCCTAAAGGAAATCAGTCATGAATATTCATTGGAAGGACTGATGCTGAAGCTGAAACTCCAATACTTTGGCCACCTGATGGGAAGAACTGACTCATTGGAAAAGATCCTGATGTTAGGAAAGATTGAAGGCAGAAGGAGAAGGGGATGACAGAGGATGAGATGGTGGGATGGCATCACCGACTCAATGGACAAGAGTTTGAGCAAGCTCTGGGAGTTGGTGATGGACAGGAAAGCCTGGCGTGCCACAGTCCATGGGTTCCAAAGAGTTGGACACAACTGAGCAACTGAACTGAACTGAACTGATTCATCCTTCATAGATCATTAACTTGCCCCTGATAAGTATATAGAAAATTTTGCTACAAATATCTTGCTGAAGTTTTTTCATATTTACCAAGGAATGTATAATAAGCATAGCCATCTCAAAGATGCATATACTAGTCTTATTTTTTCATTTTAATAATGATTCTCAGATAGTTATAGTCTCCTATCTGGCTAGCAGGTTCAAGCATTTATTTTTAACTGAATTATCTTGTCTTAATCTAGAGCAGCCCTGTCTAATATGGTAACCATGTGGCTATTTAAATTAAAATTAATTAAAATCTAAAATTTAGTTCCTCAGGCTCACTGGGGACGTTTCAAGTGCTTAATGGCCACATATGGCTACTTGTAATGTATTAGACATTACAGATGAAGCACATTTCCACCACTGCTGAAAGATGCATTAGACAGTGCTTGGATCTTTAGCGATGCCACGAGGGATACGCTAAACTGCACAGATTCTGGCATTTGGTCTGCCCTATTGTTTTGACATGTGGAACAAATGATCATTTCATGTGCCCTAAACTATGATGGCAGGTCAGGATGTGGGTTGAGAAATCTAACCTTGCAAAGACATTTCTTAAAATGCTGATAAAGGAAATGGATCTCCTTGCCACTTAATTACACACACCATTTCAGGTCTCACCACCACTCTCGGAGTCCTAGGGGTGTCACAAGGACTGTGGAGAGAGGACAGGTACTTTGCTGGGAATCAGAGCTACTCAGAAGTGTTAAGTAAGGGGCAAGCTAGGCCATGAGGTGAGAAGTTCGCTTGACCAGAGCTCTTATCCACACACAATGGAGTATAGTGCCGGGTCTGGGGCGGTTGTTAGTGTGGTTTTTTGCAGGGTGCTTGGGGAGCCCTGCTTTCTTCAACATTCAATGTCCATTCCTTAGAAATGTTATCCTAAAAGAAGGCCTCTGGTCTTACCAAGTATCAGACGTTCCCCACAGTATATGTGCCAAGAAATAAATACGAATAAATATGAGAGATTGTTCACAAGCCTGTGCTTAATGAGTTTACTGTTTTATCTTCAGCATTATAGTAGTACAATTGAAAACTGGTTGGCAAAGCTTTAAAGGATAGAAGTCTACCGGTAAGGATAAGATGTCTTTTTAAATGTATGCTATTATCCTACCAGCAGCAGCAAATAAATTGCTTCCTCTTTAATCTGACTTTTTAGCTTGCAGAATCACTACAATAGTCAATAGTAGCTTAAAAGAATTAATATAACTATAAAAAAGAAAAGCAGTTTATATGCCATCTGACTGCTGGAGTACCAAAGATAACGCAAAATGATTCATGCTATGCTTTTGTTATTTTCAAGATAAACTTTTTTTTTTGTCTCTTGACATTTCTAGAAGTTACTCAAGATTATTCAAGCAGGTCAAAAAAATCTATGGATTCTTTTATTGACACAATTTTTATGTGCTAAAATTATGTAAAACACCAAAATCCACTTGTTTTTCATAAGGAAATATGGCATATTCTTTTTTTTTTTGGCATATTCTTTACTCAAAAGGAATCAAGTTCTTAAGAATCTCCACGTTACCATGCATGAATTGGTACATTGACACAAATGCAAAATCCATGTAATTAATCAAATACAAACCAACCCATAATTAAATTTAAGATTGAAATATCTAAGTTACTTATATTGCTATATATTTTTTCTCATCATGCACATTTTCACATAACAAATGCAAATTTTAAGACAAATGATTAAAACCAAGATAATAATCCTTCATTTGCCTAAAATATATGACAAAACTTAATAACAAGGACAACTTCAGATTTCCCTTGCCAAATAACTTTTTAATAATTCTAAGTTCAGTAACTGGATATTACGTGACTGCTCAAGATCTAGAAATGTTTGATAATTATGTGAAAACATTTAAAGACATACTAGAAATAATGCAACCATTTTTTTTCAGTTTTTCCAAAAAAGAAGGAAAAGGTTAATTTTAATGAATCTTTCTAAGCTGTTTAATTTGATGAATTCTTCACTTTGATCATTTTTATTTTCTAACATAAAATTATTAGTAATTATAAACAATCCTGACATTCGCCCTTCAGACACTACTGTGGGATTTTTTTGCTACATGGATCAATTGCTAAATTCAAAATATTTGGCAAAGCCTTTTGTGTTCCTTAACCTGATGCTATGCTCACATACGTGCAACTGCTTTCCAGTCTTCGGGCAGAGAAGCCCTTTAAGCTGATAAATATCACCCAAAGCAAAGTCCTTGATAACAAAAAATAATTAAATAGCAGAAGCTGCTTAGAGTTCAGCATTCATTTTTCAAATTAAATGTAAAAGCCTTCTCCAGTTGAGAGATTGGCAAGTTTTTACAAATAACACCAGTGAGCCTTTTAGAAAGAAACACAGCCACATTAGAATGGAGTCATTAGGCAATACATTTATTTTGAAGCCAATTAACCTTTGGTCAGAAAAATGTCGGTGCTATAATGCTTTCAGCGGTGGAGGTCAGTCTCTAACAGAGCGCGTATGACAGCCACTGCGCTGGCTGACACGTGCTGCCGACAGAGAAGAGGGCCTCCGTCAGAACCCGCCTGCTTTTGTATTCCACTCTGCATTTCCAGGGAGCAGACAATCTTGACCTATCCATTTAGGTAATTAAAGCTTCCATTTGGAAGTGTCCTGCAGGAAGGTGAAATTTGGGGGGAGATAAATGGCTGTTGCTCTCTGCATCCAGCCACCAGTTCCATCATTTGATGGACTGCCTGAAACAGGCTGGGATGCCAGGTTCTCATAAAAATAGAGATGAATCGGTCAGCACACAATTCTCTAAGGCAAAGCAACTGTGTCATTTTCTTTTTCTGCAGGCTGTAATTTAATTGTTAGTCAAGGTGGGCAGCTGACACAGAGGGGCTTCCTCTAAGAGCTTACCCACCATCATCCACTCACCGAGAAATCACTCCAGCTTATTTACTTATCAATCGAGTGTGTTTGGCACTGGGAGATATCACTTCCATAGCAATCACAGCTGGTTCTCGCAGCTGTGCAAGGACTTACCTTCCAAGCTATTTTGTTTCCTTTCGAATCATGTTCAAGGGCAATTGGGAAGTCTCCTCGTTCATAAAATTTTCGAAACGCTGTGGGTTTGGTGGGTCTTTCTTTGAATGCTCCTGCACTTGGAGGGCCTCTCACCTTCAAAGGAAAAAATAAAAAAATAAAAGTAGGAATCAGGTTTTAAAGCACATGGGAAAATGCACGATGAAAAGACTTTGGCTTTTATAAGTTTCATTTTGTACAAAACATTCTGGAAGACAAATCAGATTATCTTAATAATGGGCAACAAAAATCTCACAAACATTTGGAGAAAAAAATTTATAACCACTGTTAAGGATTTCCTTTATTTCAAGCTATCTTACAAAGTATTCCTAGAAAGTGTCACTTTAAAAATATTACTTTATAAGGAAGAAAAGCCTGAACTTTTGTTTAAGGAAAACATTTTAATAAAAGCAACTAAGTTCAGAGTGTTAAAACTTTTAAGATTCCTAACAACTGCAAGTTCTAATCCAAGTCTGATATACTTTGTGGAATATTCTAGAAATAAATTTAAAATATCACCTTCAAATCTTTCTATATAAATAAAATAAAAACAATATGTTCTCAAGGTATGAATATTAACCACAAAAGCACAGAAATGTGATAAAAAAATTGGTAGTTTAATCGCTAAGTTCTGTGCAACTCTTTGGGACCCCATGGGTGGTAGCAGGCTAGGCTCCTCTGAAAATTAAGTAATGATAAATGAGCGAGTTTAAAAAGAAAAACGGTGGTCTACATTTGATAACATGTGTTTCCAAAAAATGAACATTAGAAGAGATTATATGAGAATCTTTCAACCTGTCAAACTGATTTTTATCAATGAAGAAATATCTCATATTGAGCTATTCACATTGAGTACAATGTTAAATCTGCATTATTTACATATGAACAAATTCATTAGGTTACAAAATTCAAAATGATTAGTGAAATGTTTAGGAAATTATACTCCATTGTATTGTTCCATACATATAGTCTAAACATTATTTTTCTTATACCTCTTTATTTTAAAAAAGTAAATATTATTCATTTATTAGTTTAATAAAAGTAATTATTTTGTCAATTCTTAATATAACAAGATAGCAAATAATTTACCTATTATCTTAATATTTAAAATTATTTGACATATTAATTTTTAATATCTGTGTACAATTTTTAATTTTAACAAACTATATAAAAATATATCTAACATAAACAGATAAAGACAAATACAGTTTATCTGAAGCTCACATAAAGACTAATGTTAGAAACTGAGTGGGATATTAAGAAATATTAAGATGATTAAATGCTGAAGCGGAATTGAGGAGTGTGGTAACACAAAGGGATTTATTAGAGTTTAAAATGATCTTCACTACATAGCACACTGTCCCCATATGATTACATAGGTTACTGAGAAGACGCTGGGCAGTGGAGAAATAAGATTTCCTTTTTGCTCATTAAAGATTTGGAATTTGGTCTCGTATTAGAATTATTAGCCACTAATTTCAGCCAAGTTCATCCAGCTGTTAAATGAGCATGTGCCTACAGCATCTGAGCTGGATGCCATATAAAAGAGGATGTTTTCAACAATGTTAGTATGATGGAAGCTGTAGAGATGTCATTCCCAGACTTTCGGGATTCATGGAACAATACATTTTGAATCACATTTTGGGGAACTGATAAAGAATTGACAGATTTTTATTTTGCCAAGAAGTTACATTTACAAAAACAATTACTATCTACCATCATGTCACTAATACAGCTTCCAAAGGTGGTAGTACATAATCTAAGGAAAGAAAACGCAGCCAGCATGCATACGTATTTATAGAAAGTTATAGGGCTTCCCTGGTGGCTCAGATGGCAAAGAATCTGCCTGCAATGCAGGAGACCTGGATTCCATCCCTGGGTTGGAAAGATCCCCTGAAGAAGGGAACAGCTACCCACTCCAGTATTCTGGCCTGGAGAATTCTATATAGTCCATGGGGTCTCAAAGACACGACTCTCACTTTCTATACTTCATAGTACAATAGTGTATATATGTGTGCATGTGTAGGTGTGTGTTTATTATACAGTACTGATTACTGGTCATTTCTTACGGTTTTGAAATATTAACTTTTTAATGGATAAAGAAAACAGCTTTATGTATATGTGTGTGTGTGTATAATGGATATTGTTTCTGCTGTTTAGCTGCTAAGTCACGTCCGACTCTTTTACGACTCCATGGACTGTAGTTCGCCAGGCTCCTCTGTCACTGGGATTTCCCAGGCAAGAATACCAGAGTGGGTTGTCATTTCCTTCTCCAGGGGATCTTCCCGATCCAGGGATCAAACTTGCATCTCCTGCATAGGCAGGCAGATTCTTTACCACTGATCCACCAGGGAAGACCTATAGTGGATATCATTCAACCATAAAAAGAAGGAAGTCCTGCCATTTGCAACGACCTGAGTATTCGTTAAGGTCTAAGAGAAATAAGTCAGACAGAAAGACAAATATTATGTGATAACACCTTCTGGAGGAATCTAAAAGAAAGTCATGGAAACAAAGAGTAGAATGATGTCTGCCAGGGACAGGGGGTGTGTGGCATATGTTGATTGTCCTTTTTTATTCACTTTACAACCTTCCTGATTCTTGGTGTGACAACTGATTTCTTTATTGAAACCTGGACACTGGTGCGTTGTGAAACTCCAGATCTTAAACCTTCTGTTTCAGCTGGTTTATGCTAGTATCTCTCTAGCAGAAAGAGCTGGGGGGTAGAAGTACTGGTGCCCCAGCTGGCTTCAGCTGGGGTGGGTGGAGAGAGCGCCTCGTCACTCTGGGTGAAGGTGGGAGCTTCAGCACCTCAGCCTGCACCACCGTCCTGGCAGAGAAGGGGAGCAGTGCCCACCGTTGCTCCCCACCCTGACATCACAGATGGAGCGGTCTCACTGTCAACTCACAGTGGTGAAACACCTCTCCCTCTGACACCACCCCAACAAGAAGAGGGAAGAGCCTCTCATTACCGCTGGCTGGGGTGGACACACATGACGGTTCCAGTGGTCGTGTATGGGTGTGAGAGTCGGATAGTAAAGAAAGCTGAGCGAAGAAGGACTCATGCTTTTGAACTGTGGTGTTGGAGAAGACTCTTGAGAGTCCCTTGGACTGCAAGGAGAGCCAACCAGTCCATCCTAAAGGAGATCAGTCCTGGGTGTTCATTGGAAGGACTGATGCTGAAGCTGAAACTCCAATGCTTTGGCCACCTGACGTGAAGAACTGACTCACCGGAAAAGACCCTGATGCTGGGAAAGATCGAAGGCGAGAGGAGAAGGGGACAACAGAGGATGAGATGGCTGGATGGCATCACCGACTCAATGGACATGAGTTTGAGCAAGTTCCGGGAGTTGGTGATGGACAGGGAGGCCTTGCGTGCTGCAGTCCATGGGGTCTCAAAGAGTTGCTGCGAGTGCTAGGGAATCTTTTTTCAATTTCAGTAGAGATCCACTATAATCTCTCACTTAAAAAATTCAGCTACAACCATGATTTAGATTTCTTTGTCTTATCATCTCCTAACCATTTTTTTCAGTTTTCTTTTAGATGCCAATTTATCATTTCTGCTGTTGAGAGCATGCTTCTCGTTTGTTTATCTGGCCGAAAATTTGTTTGAGATTAGGCATCTTTCTCCTTTTTCTTTGTATTTATCTTAAAATCAATTTCTCTTCCTTTTTATCTCTTATTCTTTTTTTTTTTTTAATTTATTTTTATTAGTTGGAGGCTAATTACTTTACATCATTGCAGTGGTTTTTGTCATACATTGAGATGAATTAGCCATGGATTTACATGTATTCCCCATCCCGGTATACTTTATTTCTTTCTGGTTGAGAACTCAAAGTTCTAAATGTCCAAACTTTTCAAATAATGAACATATTGCTAAGATGCCCAGAAGGCTTTTTTTAAACTGTAATAGACAACTTATACTTCCTCTTTCTGCCCATAAATATTCATGGGCTCTCTACGAAATGATTCCATACCTACAATTCCATGGAAATCTTTACTTAGTTTTACAAAAATTGTCCATGCTAATATGCAATGACTCAGCAGTGACAGAAGTTTATTATCTGTTATCTTCTATTTTCATATTTCTGCCATTTACTTATTTAAAAATACTAGATTCTCTGAAGTCTGCTATAGATCCATTCCAAATTAATTCCTGGAATCTCAAGAGTTACAATTTGTAAAAGCTATTAGAATATTCCCACCTAAACTTGTTAATGCAAAGGGACATTACCTAATTTTATGCAAATACTATGTCATTATATCCTTAGATAATATTTTTTGTGTTCCAAATATATACCCACTTAAACCTTATAGAAGGATATACTATTTTTAATATCCCATGCATAATTCATTCCAACTAATTCTAAAAATCTGTACATGAAAAAAACAAGTGAAATATAATTAATCTCTGGGAAGGTAATAAAGGTATTATTACTGGATATCACACAGTTGGATATAGCTTGACTAAATAAAAAAAAGCAAAAAATATTGTTAAGGATCCTTACATGTCTCATACTTATACAAAAACTACTCTAAATTTTATTTAATGTCTTAAGAATTTAATCTCGATTTATATAAATAATATAGAGCAAATAGGGAACCATAAATCAAACTAGATTTGTGGGAAAATGCAATTAGGATTTGCCCGAATGGTGGGGGCTATCCGTAAACCAATTAGGAAGAATGGATGTTGCAGCAGAATTCTTTTAATAAAATCTAATGCACTTGGGAACCAAGATACTGAATGCACTTTGAAGCGACTACAGATGACAGCATGCTTTATATGCCTACATTTATTGAATGTGCCGTAATGGATTTAGGACTTGGATCACAGTCTCTGTCATAAGGTCACAAAACTAATAATAGTTAGTAGGAAGGGACTTAAGTTTCTCTAAAATTCCTCATCATGTACTTTGAAAGTTTCTTTTCAGTAGATCTGTGTTTTAGCATAAACTGAAAAAGCTAAAAAGAAAAAAAGAAGACTTTTACTTTAAGTGCAGAAGCTACCCTGTGTCTGTCTAAATGGTCCATTTAGCCAACTCACCAACACTGAGACAATAAAATGCAAAGACACTGATTTCCTAATTTCATTA